TTTAATCGAGGAACACTATAAGCACCACATCGTTTATAGTTTTATAGACCAACTCAAAACTCAGGCCACATGTATCACATCTCAATGTAATGACGGACTAGTCTTTGCTACGGGACACTTGACACAATAGCAGGCACCTCCACGACACAGGCCGCCCCTATATGACTCCAGGAGACATTCTGCTGCGCAAAAAACGAGGAAGCACGGCCAAACGTTTATCTTCACTTGAACACAGCCTCGTGGAGGCGGCTGGGTCAATGGGGTCCGAAGATGAGGCAAATGACCAGTCAATGTAAGTGGAGTTGGATTACTCTTTGGAGAAGTTTGGGGAGAAGGAGCCAGATGGCTGCTCTGATCAGGAGGAGGCACCACGAGACCACCGCCACCTCCATCCAAATGCTGTTCTCCTTTGATTGGGCCTGTTGTTCAAACTAAATACAACATTAATAAGGCAATTACCGAAAAAATTGGAGGATAAAACGATCAAACTCCCGTTTAATTCTCGTTCTATAGGCATCGTCATACGTTTTTGGTAACCCATTTGGTGTCAACTATATAGTGGATATATTAACCGTATCAAGATAAAGTACAAAATATGCTATAGACGGATGATTCGATTTCACATACCTGAAAAGGCAAGCAAAACCGCGAGAAGAAGAATCAACATGGTGGTCCTTCTCACAATGATGTGAAGACCGAAGGCTGAAGAGTGGAGTTGATGAGACATCCTACATTTATAGATTCTTGGACCGTATCATTTTTCAGATCTTTGCGGTACTCTCAATGCATTATATATACCTTAAGCTATATCATATGCATTAAACATATATTTTTTATATATAACTCCTAAAATGCATTACATCTTATTGCTGTATTTAGAAGATCTCTCATTTAATGTGTGTTGTGAGAGAAAGTTTGACTTGTCTTGGTTTTGGTGCTCATAAACTTCGAATTTAGTCACTAATATTTGACTGAACCATTTGCTAATAATTAATTTTCCACACTGAATGGATTTTAGTTATTAATAGTTTTCTAGCAACATGTCTAGATTTTCCATCATAAAAAGATGGACGTCAGGCATTTATTCAAAGGCATTATTTCGTAAAACATGAGAGCCCCCTAAGCCCACATAATACACGATCAGCAAAGTTTATATCTTTAGGGTATCTTTATGCTTAATTTATTTCGTTCAATAGAGTAGAGGAAAAAAAACTGAACCCATTCAACAATCTCAAAACATCTATGTAAGGAAAAAATGTGAAAAATGAACCAACAATATATGATTCAACCCCAATTGAAAAAAAAAGTTCCGGAGCATACCTATCACTATGTTCAACCTCACATTCAAACCCGTTCTGACAACTCAACATGGAGGTCAATCTTGATTTAACTCGCAATGTTATAGCCTTTTATTATAACAAAAGGCAACTGTTTTGCAACTAATGAAAAGATTACCATTAACAAAATTTCAAATGAACGACAACATGGATGAAAATGATAGTTCTGCCATAAATGATACATATGTATATAAAGAAACTAGCATGCCATCTACAATCAAGATAAACCATAGTTCCACAGAAAACTAAATGGCAATACTATTGCATAAGAATTACTCGATTGAATGAGGACTTTCCTATATCAAGGTTGGTGATGAAGATCACGAGTATGTAGCAGTCGAAGAAGATGATGAAGTAGTTGTGCAAAGCACTTTCTAGAAACATCACCGCCATACCACGCGTTTTGGTCGCCAATTACCTCAGAACGTCTGAATACAACTGATTTATTTGCCCTACTAAACAACAAGGAAAGGTTTGGCGGAGGTCGGGCAGGGGTGTAGAGGAGAACATATGGGTTATGTTGCAAGATGAGACTCCCTCGATAGGGACGTCTCCCGCTTATAGCCTCTGATGACCCTCATGTATGCATAATGATATACCTATATGCGAGGAACCTCCTTCTTGACGTGGTGCATGCTTAATTATCCTCAGTTAGTGCATGATGTACCTTTTGAGCTAAAAAGAGGGGGCCATTGCCTTCCTGTGGATCCCACGATCTAGGATCCATCGGCCAATATTCCCATACTCCCTAGCGAGACAATGCCCCCTCTTCCTCTGTCTATCCCTCCAATGACGGGAGGTGGCGGGGACCCTGGGAATTTTCTTCGGTGGTGATAGGTTTAGGGAAAAAAGGTTTTGTCTCTGATGTACTGTGGCGACACGATAGCATCCTTGGACGTGGAATAAGGTCTCCCCGGCTCACCATTATTTAAGTGGTGCTTCTGCGTATCGCCATGAGGCATGTGGAGGATGATGTGTCCACAAATCTGGTCCCCCTAGTTTAGTTTTTTCTTCTGCAGATGTGTCTAGGTGGCATTGTCCTGTGGAGCAGAGAATGTTGTTGTGTGTCTTAGTCCTCTGCTCCAGTTCCGCCCGACAAAGAATGGCCAGCCTCGGTTTCATCATGGAGCATGTGAGATTTGTGTTCTCCGATTCTGTTTGTTCAAACATGGTACATTCTACATGCTCCCTCAGGGTTTTATTCTTTGGGACGGCGATTTTCTATCTCGATCACGGTTGCCGGTATCTTCTGGTCTACATTGGAAACTTCTGGGCCGCGACTTCTACATAGTCAAATATTTCAACAAGTTTGCTCCAGTGACATGGTGTGAGATCTATGGGATTGCCTGTTGTTCGAAATTCAAAGCATCTATTCTCAAGAAAATAAATACAAATACTACTACAAATTCTATCGACAACTCCAAATAGTTCCAGCTCATGAATTTGAACTACCATATAGAACCAAAGCTCACATTATACATCCTAGGATTCGCTGTTTCTCTAATTGTATATAGAATTTATTGCACAAAAAAATGTACATATCATTTTGATATGATTTGTTGGGAGTAGTGAAGGAGAATAGATTGCAGTTTCTAGACATGATAAATGATCACATCTAAATGTCTGATGCTTTTCTAGTCTCTCATGTTTTCTGGAACTTAAAGGTGATTCCTATTCTCCGCGCGGGTCGGTGGTTACCGACCAAACGCGCACCCCCACCCGCATGAATGGGTTGACCCGTTGGTCTGTTCTGCTTCTTTTTTGGCAGTTTTCTTTTCTCTTTTTGTTTTTTTGTTCTCTATTTTCCTTTTTCCCTTCTCTTTTGAAATTCAATTTTTTCAAATAAATTCATCAACACTTTTTTCGTTCCAATCATCAATTTATTTTGGAATTCATAAACTTTTCTAAGAATTGAGCAGATTTTTAAAAGTTTGCGAACATTGTTTTTGAATTTGAGAGAAAACCACTATTCCCACAATTTTTGAGCATTCCAATCAAGTTCGTTAATATTTTATGCAAACTCATAGTAATTTTTCAGAAGTCTTGTACATTTTTCAAAGTCATATTAGTTTTCACCATTCATGAACTTTGTTTAAATTCACGAACCTTTTTTGAATTCTGGAACATAATTTTTGAATTTGTATTTTTGGAACTCAAGAAGTTTTTTTGAAATTATTGAATATTTTCTGAAACATGATTTTTTTTAAATTCATGATCATTTTTTGAATTCAAAATATATTTTGAAAGTCATGCACTATTCAAATTCATCAACATTTTTAAATTCAAGATTTTTTATTAATTCACGAATATATTTTGCATCCTCAAATACTCTTAAATTTGTCAACATTGTTTTTCAAATCATTGAACATTTTTTGAAATTGCTAAGATTGTTTTGATTTCATGACCACTCTTTTAATTCATGAACCCCTTTTCATATTCTTGATTTTTCTGAATATTGTGAACAGTTTCTTGAAAGCATGAAAAAATTTGGAACTTGCGATTTTTCCCCAAATTAATCAACATTTTTCAATGTTTCGTGAACATATTTTGAATTTATTTTTAACAATGAAAAGGTAAAAAAGAAAAAAATAGGGAAACAGAAAAGGAAGATAAAAAACTCGCAGCTCACCCAAAACACATGCGTGGGGGAGTGAGTGGTGCGAGATTTGGTGCCGTGTGCCGCCCAGTTCAGGGAATAAGAGGTCTCGCACCTAAACAACATTCAGAAACATTGGCTGCTTTAAAAGAAAACCGCAATTGGTCGTAATCTGCTTTGCAAATTCATTGGATTGGTCAATATATATACTTAACTAAGCTAGCCCATGCATAGTTTTTTGTCGTACTATTGCCATTCTTGGTCGTGTTGACGAGAGTAAATGTAGGTGCTTGTCCTTCAAAGTCCCCACAATCCGGCGCAAGGTTTACTGACTACCAGTATTCCCATAAAGACTCAAAATAAAACCAGTATTCCCACAACGACACTGAGGGGCTCTTGTTCCCAATCCTAGCGGCCATAGCCCCAAAGGGTTCTTCATGTTGTCGTTTTGGTCCCTCCTCTTTCTTGTATGGTGGCCTTGGCAGCAGAAAGAGGAGTCGGGACCCGTTCATTTTCATTTTGTTTTTCTTAGATTTTGTTTTCTGGCGGCATTGAAGAGGTGGTGGGAGCTGCTCCCCATCTCGACGACGCCAGATCCAGCATCAACAAATGGCATGTGAGAGTTTGTGTCGTCAAATATGTCGGTCCTCTCTCGGCATATTGGCAGTTGGCTTCTCTATAAGGAGAGTTATTTGCTAGCTATTGGTGTGGTGACTTCGACAACTTCTTTTGTATTGTTCCGCGGCATGATTTGGTTTCGTCAAATCTCTGGACCAGTGGTGATGGATTGCAAGCCTAGTGTGCATTGGGTGATGCTCGAACTGATGTGTCTTTCAGATCTCGTGTCAAGCGGCGAGTGACTATTTTGGTGTTTAATGCCATATGGTATCCCTTTTTAAGTACCACTTTCCTTATTTCTAGGTATATCTTTTTTTACCATTGGTTCAGTCTAAATTTCAATCTTGGGAGAACGACAGTCAATCAGACAAAGATGAAGGCTAATATAATTTTCAATGTAATTTTATTTTTACTGGTTGATCTTCATCAAGTTGTGTTTCAGTTGTACTAACTATTATCCTTGATAACTCTTAGATGCAAGCTATCATTTGTGTGTCATTCTTTAAACTAAAAGTTTGAACAATCTTGCGCGGCGCTGACCCACGAGTGGGACTGTGAGTGCGCACGCGCGTGGGGCGGGGTGGGGTGGGGGTGGGGGTGGGGGGGATGCATGCAACTCAAGCTTCTCTGGCCGATGCAATATCGGCCGCCACCAGGTGCGATCTGATTGTTCAGAGGGCGTCCGTGGATTCGCAGGGGGAGTTAACTTTTCATTTCCGCATGAGAACCGCCAATAATGTGTTTAGCATGTAAGATGTTGAAATCCTTAGTCGTGACGTTGACAGGAAAATCAGACCACTCAAAATTTATTCATCTTTGTTTTAAGCAATGAGCTATGACACCTATGTAAATCCATGCTTCCCTCTGCGAAGGGCTTATCTTTTACTTTTTCCATTAATTTTATTTTTATTGAGTCAAATCATTAGTCCAACCTATTCTTTTGTTGGCAAGCATCATATGGTGGGGAAATATCTAGGCATATATGGCCATTCAAATATATTTGATCATGAATTACTTTGTTGACAATTATCTCTATGATAAATGAATTGTGAGCGAAACATTAAGCCCCTATCTTTCTCTGTGTTCGATGGATGCCATTTCTTCTAAAAATATGCTTTGAGTACTAGCAATCATAGAAACTATATGATAATTAAGTATGTGGAGCTCTTATTTAGA